TGGCTTATTGGAAAAATTACAAATACATCTAAGTCCCAAATACTTTTCCAAAAATACCAAATTATTAATTCAAAAACTAACACAATTCACATTTCTCCAACACCTACAATATTTCAAATAAATTACAAACAAACTATCAATATAAAATGTAAAACTCAAAAAAGACCACAACACTTCGAACTCAATATAAATATTCAAGAAATTCAAATACTTCAAAACATTCATGCAGAGTTGTATAAACCTGCTCTACAGTCCTTACCATCTCTTTTATTATCTTCTTCAGAAATCATTCTAATACAAAACACAGTACCAAACCCTATTTACTAAAACCAACTCATAAACCTTCATCAAAAAATATTACTCCTCAATTCAACTAATCTACACTTTTATACTGATGCCTCTATACTCAATTTACAAACACATAACATATCTATCGGTATTGCTTGAATTCTCAAAAATGATACACAATTAAATTTAATACCTCTATACCTCATGCACCAAATTTTATACAAGCAGAACTCATAGCACTTATTTCCTTGTTTCTTATCTTATCTACTAATTACCAAATCCACATTCATCTTGATAGTCTATCTACTATCCAAACTCTTACAAACTCAATATCTTACAACTATAACTTCCAAACCAAACAAAATAATTGAGATATCATTCATATTCTAAATCATCTAACCAAACTCAAAAATATTAATTATATTATCCACAAAGTCAAATCACACTCTAACAACACTCTACATAACATAGTTGATGCTTTAGCTAAACAAGATGCTTGTAAAACCAAACTAAAACTTAATCTTGACTCCTTCTACCTACTGACCTTCTTTACCTGGAAAGAAATACCAATCACATACAAACTACATAAATTCTGCAGAAATCTACTCTCTATTCAAACCTTTAACAAACTTCTCCAACTCAAACCACTATGAAATCTTCCTACCTTAAACATTCAACTACTTACAAAATTATTAATTCTCAAAACTCTAATTCTAAACTATACTCTATTAGAAACAAAATACTTCTAAATAACTTACCCACAATGGCAAATCTGAATATTCACTACCCTCTTCTTTTCTTAACCTCAAATTGCTCATATTACAATCAACATGAAAATATTATACATTTATTACAATGTTCACTTTACACTTACAATCCACATAACACTCTTATCAATGAAATTTCAAATACATTAAGCTCACTAAATCTCCTAGAAACCTCACTACATACAATAGTACAAATTTTAAATCCACAAAGCTCTCTCTCAAATTCTACTATATACAATACAATACTCTTACTTATCTAAGGAACAATAACTCTTGACCAATACAAACAACTTCAACCTACTCTAAAAAAACTAACAAACAACTTCCTTATTCTTTTATCCAACTCTCTACTTAACTGGTTTAACTCTACTATTTGGCAAACCCGAAATACTAAACAACATGAATGGGAATTAGTATAAGGAATTACTGCCTCAACCAAAAAGAAAAACAACATCCAATTACCTATTCTACAACCTTCCAATTCTATTAACAATAGCTTCATATTTAATACTGATATAGATTTCTTTATTTCTAAAACTTTTTTCCAAAACTTTTTTATATATAATTGCTTTTATTAATCTTAACAATCCCAAGGGTTCTTTTTACCCCTTTTGTAGTTAATGACTACAATAGTTAATTTAACTAATAACAGATAACTAAAGGATAATATCACACTAGATGTTGTTAGCATATAGCAACAATAGTGTAGCTTAGGAAAAATTCTTACTTATACATTTATATCTAATTGATATATCTATGTATTAATAAATTTCTCTACTTGATATTATATAATAAAAAAAAACAAAAAAAAAAACAAAAGAAATATAAAAAGCCTTGTAATTAGAGAAGGTACCAAATTCATGATGAAATAAAAATAAAAATACAAAAAAAAAATTACTTATGTTTTAAAAGACTTCTGAATATCAATCTATACAATCTTTTCCTTTACTATACTACTATATTTTTATCTTGTGCAAATTCTATATTTTTACTTCAAGCAAATTTATTTCATTTTTACATTACAATAAGTAACAAAGAAAGTGCCCTTTCTGAAGAAGATTCCTTTTTTTGATTCATATAATGAGGCCAGTGATAATATGTTAGTTGGTTCTAGTAGTAGGGCCATTTCAATAGTTTCTCTAGAAAATTAACCTTGTACAACTAAAAAAAGTAAATTACCAAAACGTAGACAAAAATATATAAAATCTAGTTGGGTATAAAAATACTTTAAAGTAAGCAAAAATGAGCAACATGATATTTGTATAGTTGAAATTCTAAATTTAAATAATGAAACGATTAAATGTGATTATAAATTTCTACATAATGGTAGTATTGGAAATATGAGTGGTCATCTTCAAGACAAACATGATCTATATAAGAATAAAAATTAAGTTTTTTATTAATTGCTATTTAATATTTGAATACAGCTACAGAAAAATGGCAAACTTTAAATTATATTTTATATTGAACACAATCTTTAATAAATTAAATAGATTTGCTAGTATAAAATATAATTAAAAAACTAAATACTATTTTTTCTTGATATAATTTATCTAATATAACTAATAATATTTATCTAATTATTATATAGAAGCAAGATTATACTGTTTAACAAATATTGAAAGAAACTTCTTGAATAGGCAAAAGTTAAAATGCATAAAGAGCTACAAAACCAAGAGATTCGACAAGCAATTACTGAATGGATTATTATTGATAATTTATCAATCAATATAGTTAAAGGAAAAGGATACAAGAAAATGATAAAAATAGTCAATCCAGCAGTTCAACTTCCATCTGAAAAAAGGATTAAAAAAAGAAATTCATAATGCTTATCCTAAAGCAGTTGAAAATTTAAAACAATTATTAGATAATACATGTGAATCAGCATCCTTAACAACTGATTTATGGACTGCTTGCAGTAAACATGGATATATAGATATAACAATCCATTGGTTATCAAGTGATTTTAAAGTATATGATTGTCTTCTTTGTATAGAATGTATGCTATATCCACATTCAGCTGAAAAAATTGTTACTTTTCTAAAAAAAAAAAGTATTGGAATTTGGGTTAGATAAAAAAATAACTTGTATTACAACAGACAATAGAAGTAATATAGTTAAAGCAATTAGTTTGTGAAAGGATGTTGAACATTTACCTTGTGCAGCTTATACTTTGCAATTATCAATTTTTCATGCTTTCAAAAAAACAAATACTCATATTAAAAAAATAAAAAAATTAGTTAAGTTTTTTACTAAGTCTTCTAAGCAAAGTAAACATCTTGATAAAATACAACAAAAATATCAATTACATTCATAAACTCAAAGTAATGTTTGTTTGACTGATATATCAAATTCTGGTGATAGTGATTCAAATAGTTTATAATTTGTAAATATTGTTGCAGATTCTGAAAAAACTATATTGTATATTATAGGAGATATAAAGACTAGATGGAATTTAAAATATCATTCATAAAAATGACTACTTAAACTGCATAAAGCAGTTAGATAGTTAGATGCAACACTACCTTTATTTGACAATTCAGATGATCGAGCTGATGAACAAAAATTAAAAAAGCTACTTCTTTCATTGTATGAATAGGACCTATTAAATTAAATAATTACTTTGTTAGAACTATTTGATAATGCCACTACTTATTTTAGTGGCTTGAAATATGCTACCTTATCTATTATATATCCTTTAATTCAGGTATTTAAATTTATATTTGCTGAATTCAAAATAGCAAATGATGTTTAAGACAATAAACAAGGTAATTAAATTAATGTAAAACAGGTATGATAATATAGTAAAGCAATATAGTAAATTAATTCACTATATTATTAGGCTGTATTGTTTATTATATATATCTTATCTAGTATTACTTTTAATAACTTTTTTAATTTATAATAGTAAACAAGTAATAGAAAGAGAAAGTCTGAAATTATATTTTTTGAATACTTATAATAAAAATATAAGAATCCTATTTTCATTCAAGTTAAAGTTACCTGACAAAATATAATATCATTTACATAATTAAAATTAATAGAATTAGTAATTTCAAGTGACTTTAACCTGAACTAAAATAGAATTTTTCATCAAATATCTTAAAAATAAATAATTGAACATTTAGGATTTATTAAAATTATTCAAATAATTTTAAAATTTTAAATGTTCAATTATTTAATTTTAGAATATTTTTATTAAAAGTAAATATTTAAAAAAGTTTACAGGCTTTTACTTCCTATTATTCAAATGTTAGTAGCTTTAAAGATCTAATATAAATTATTATTAGCACTTCAAGTATCTCTTAGATAGTGTTTGTAGTTGATAAAATTTTTATAAGCTTCATTGAGTTGATGATTTTAATTCAACTTAGTTGGCTTAGTTGACTGTTATAATATATAATATAGTAAATAAGCACTTATAGCTGTTCTTATTAATCCTAGAACAACTAATAATGATTTGCTTAAATCTGCAAGTAATTCTTTATTTGTTAAGTTTTCTCTACAACTTTTAATATTTCATCATTATTTAGTTTGATCTTTAATCATATCTATCTTTATATTATGTATTATCCTATAATTTCTTAATGCAATTGCATTATTTTTTTCTATTATTAATAATTTATATAATTCTTATATCTTTTTATTGTGCCACATGTTTCTTCACATCACTTTCACTTTTGGTTCAATTTTTAATAATTCATTTAGATAAATCTTCAAGTAACTATACATTTACTCATCATGCAATAAGTTATGCCATAGTTATTAAATATACTCATATATGTATATACATATACATACAAATATACAAAATTAATAGTGATTGGGCCTTAAACAAAAATTTGACATCATGTTAATGCTAATATACAGGCTTTACATTATTATATATTAATAGTTAACTAAGCTAATATTTTAAAAAATTAACTTAGTTAACTAAGTTAACTAATGTTATTTCAACTTGAAACACTATACCTAGGTTAAACTTAAAAAAAAAAGATCTCTTAGTATATTTTACTAACAACTTTTAAATATTAAATTGGTTAAATAGATGTACCTAACTTTTATTATGAAGAATCATCAGATGATGATAGTGATAATTCAGAATATGATAGTTCAGAAACAACTAATGATCTTTTACAAAACACTCATATCATCAAGTTAATGCACCATATAATCTATAATTCCTTATTTGATTATTGGAATAAACTATTAATAGTTGGTTTGTTGGCATTACTTTTGAATCCACATCTAAAAATGCATTTCAGTTGGAATAAAGAAACTCGAGAAAGGGAAAAACTGAGTTAATTCATTAATTCAAAAATATAGCTACTTCAAATTGTAAACAAACAACAACATCTATATATACTACTTCAAATGATAGCAATATTCGCTACAATCATTTTCACTTCTCTATTTTTGGTATATCTACTTCAATCTATACTGCTTTCAATCCTTTGGCTAAATTAAAATGCTATTTGGACCCCACACAAACTCCTATTTCTAATGATAATGTGAATCCATTTGAATGATGAAAAATTTGGAAAACACAATTTTCTAATGTGGCAAAGTTAGCAAGAAAGTATTTATCAATTTCTGTGTTATTTGTGCCTAGTGAAAGGTTGTTTTCAGATGCAGATAATTGCATTACTGCAAAGCACACATAGCTAAATCCTAAATTAGTTAATAAAATAATGTTTTTAAAAAAAAATTCTGATGTAATTTCAATATTTTAGAATTTGTAAAAAAAAAAAATGTAATAGAAACAAAATTATAGTACTTATCATTTACTTATCAAAATGTTTACAATAAACTGTGCTTCAAAATTAAATTTCTACTTTGGCTATATGATCAAATATTAAAAGCATATAAAATTTGATCTTGCAAGTATTCGATTAAGGTTTTATTTAAAAGTTGGTTATGAAATAAATCATACTGATCTGATTATTACTATTACTATAATTCCTGAAACACTTGATAAAAATTTGCTAATTGGGTTAAGTTTGTAGTTTTGGCATAAAAATTCAATAAAATTATAACAGATAAGACTGTATATACATAATTCTTATGTTAATTAGAGCATTGACATATGATTATTGCTTTTGCATTACAAAGTTATGACAATATGAGAGTTTTGGTCAACATTATTAACAAAACAAAAATTATATGTCAGAAACTTACATGAATTTCTATTCTATATAAAAGACATATGTCACATGTTATACTTGTTCTGCAGCTAATTTTAGCATTATTAATGTTAACATGTTTAATATTATTAAACTTTTACTTAAACACTTACATTACATATTTAGAATATGTTTAGTATGTTTAGCTTGTACAAAAATGTACATGTTAAATTACAATGCAATCTATATATATGTAATGTAAATTATAATTTATACTGATTATGCCAAAATGATTGGCTAGTTTTATGAGGTGTTTTAGGAGTTATAATAATCATAGTAAGACACTCGAAATAACACTGCAAGATGTTATTTTGAGATGATACAGTAAGTGTTTGTTATGCTTACAAAGAACTTTTACATATTCATCTTTTTATACTATATAACCTGTTTTCACCCAGGTACTTGATTTCAAAGTTACACAGATAACCTAGGTGTTAAATTTACATCTGGTTCAGACCTCTATATTTTTTACAAAGTCACTGCTCACCAAGATGATTAGTACAATAACCTTACAGACCAACTTACATACAGTTATTACAACTTACTATATTTTATCTTTATATTCTATAATATTTACAATCTCAAATATACTTTAAACTTTAAAAATGTTCCTTTAGAATTACCTACTTGTCACAATATCTGCACAATATGTTATGCACATATTTATGCATTATAGATCACACAAAACATTTTTAAAAATAGCACAAAATTCTTAACTAAGTTAATTGGCAAGCCATCTAGCTATATATCAACAACAATTAAAAAATCTTAATCTTATTATATAGCTTTTAGTCCTTTACTCTTAAATCTTTTAGAATTAAAATTCTACTAGATGATTTTTCTACTTTACACATTTTATACAAATAAAATTACTTATATTTACCTATTTGTTATTAATGTTATCAAATTAGTTTTTATCTTCACTAAACAACTTGTTCATCTAATCAATTATTATTTTTTTATTTTATTTTAAGGGCAGTCTCGCCTGTGTGTCTTTTTTATTAGTAGTAGTATAAGATTATATATTATATACAAAGTATATCAATGAAAATACAACTAGTCACATATATAACTTTAGTCATTATCTAATTAAGAGTTCCGCTTATAAGTTACCCACTAGATGCCATACCTGAGACCTGCCTGTGAGTCCCCTATTTTAAACTTTCAGATTTTCAACACTTAACTGCATATATATACAATGTATACCATCATGTTTATGACAGAACAGATTAGGGCTATCTAATTATTATTTATATCTAAGTCCCACCTCATTGGATGTTACTAAGTATCCATAGTTCTTTTAAATTTACCCTTGATGCAAACTTACTAAGTATGATACCAAGATTACCTCTTAGATTTATCCAATTTTAGTATATCCCGTATCTACTAGAACTGGTTTGATGCCAGAAGTGTTCGAATTTCGGTAAGTCTATTTCTTTTCCATAGTTTTCTTTTATGTTCACCATATCACCTGCTGTGCGGCTTCTTTCTATTTCTGGTATGTTCACTGCTTCTCTTGCATCGAGTGCCAACTCTCTATATCAGGAATCTTTTTACTAGGAACTTCCTTATATACCAATCTTCTAATCACATGGACTTAGCCACAGGGCTTCACATACATTCATATGCTTCTGTAAATTACAGAGTTGCCTCCAGCTGGAATTGAACTGTCAATCTTGTCTGTGAAGGGAGAAGTGCCTAGACCACTAGGCTACGGGACCCTATCCCTCTATCTAATTAATTATTATACAGCCTTATAGACATTTTATTACAACATATTTTAAATACTAAAATACTTAATACTACTTCAAATACTATAACTAATTTATATAATTAAATTAAGCTATTAAGTAGCATAACTATTTACAATATATCAGACTTGTCTTCAGTTTTTTCAACTCTAATCAGTCTAATACCAAATAAACGTATTGACATTATTACAAGTTTGTTATTTAAAAAAGTAGTCATAACACTTATTATCAAGTTCTTATTTTATCTTAATTAGCAAATCTATTATAAAATCTAGATTCTATATTGTATCTTAAGATCTACAGCTCAACCTTTTGAAAATAACATACTTTCAAATACTGCTTTATTTCTATCATATTCTCTTCTACTTAATTCTATTAGTTCAAAAATAAGCTTCTAATATATTCAATAAATTAAATATCAAACTAATCCTCTATATATAATTACTAATACTTAAATTTAGATAAGTCTTGGCTATTCTAATTAGTTTAAATCACAAATAAATTAGTCTGAGCTTCTATTCTTTCTATAATATTTTAAAAACAAAATTCTATTTTATATAAAATCTCAATTAAATATTCAATAAAAATAGAGATATAGCCTTATTATTAATATTTAAAAAAATAATTTTAGGCTTGAAATCAGATTACTTAAAGATAAAAATAAAAATAATTAATAAAATTTTAAAAATTATAAAATTTTTAACAATATTATTAATAAAAATATAGAAAATAAAGGATGATGATCCTAGTGTAATGGTTGGGTTGTCATCCTTCAAGTAGCAGATCTAAGATTCAAATCTCACCTATGATGAAATTTGGTAATTAATCTGTGTTATGATAAACTGTTTTTTGTCAATCAGTTGAATTTAGGAATTTGTAATCTTGGATATAACCAATCAGGTTCTACTTGTCATTAGAAGCCTAGGGCATCTATGTGAAGTGTAATGTTACATGTACATAGAGAAATGTTAATAACCAGTGTCATATAAGACTTTGGTGCAAACCCATAATAAGACCACCTAATGTCGAAGACCAAGAAACCAAGAAGATAGAAGTCCACTTGAAAATTTCTAAGTAAAGAGTAGTACAAGCCTTCGATGATGCTATCAGACTGATGGAAGCCTAGAAAACCCCAATAAGGAATAGGCAGACATGCAACTGGATGAAAAGATGTGTAGAAGAGCATATAACCAACCAGGCCACCAGAATTACTGGAGAAAAAGGATACCAAGTTATACTACACTGGGCTATCTGAATTAGAAATCTGGAGAGTCTGTCAGATTCTGAGTTGAATAGTAGAGAGATAAAGAGAAAAAGTCAGAAAGATAGATATCATGATACCAGGGTTTTGGTGAACTTTACAAGAGTAGAAATAGTGTAACATAGTAGTTAAACAGATAACCTCTGTAATTGCAAATGTTAGATAACTATAGCATGTTATATAAAACTAGGTCAGCTGTGTGTAGGACATAAAAGGCTCTAGTAATGATGCTTCTAAGAATACCTGCATGAAATAAGGTATAGAGTTCTAAAAGAAATAAATAAAAGTATCTAGACCTTCTTGACTAATGGCTATATCAGAGATAATCTAGTAACACAGTAAGGATTGTAGCACAGAGGATTTAAATAGGCAATGCTCCTAGTTGGATTGCAGATATGGCAGCTAGTGTAGAACTATTGGCAGACTACTTAAATTAGACACCAAAAGTGCATGTGTGGCTAGTTATATTTTTTAAAGTAAAATGACTTCTTTGAGACTTCAGTTGCGAGTCCCTATGTTCAATTTACTAAATAAACCCTAGGCCCAAAAGAGGCTAGTTTAATAAAAAAAATATATATATATATAGAAAATCTTATGATTTCAAATTTTTATTTTGTTTTTTTTTTTTTTATAGTTAAAGCCACTATCTTAGGGATGTGATATTTTATTCAAGTTTTGTTAGAAAACAGTAGCCTTCAGGGGCTTCCTTATATTGGAGATTACAACTAGCCATACATGCACTTTTGATATCTAATTTAAGTAGTCTGCTTACATATTGCTATATAAGTTCTATACTAGTTGTTATACCTGCAAGCCAACTAGAGGTCTTGACTATTTAAACCCTCTGCATATGCAATCTTTCTTGTATCACAAGAACATCTTAAGGCTACATCTATTCAAGTTCTTAATGCTTATCATTACTCTTAGAACTACTTTATTCTTGATAGGAAACTTACTAGAACCTTTATGTCCTATACATATAGAATCTAGTTTTATGCAACATACTATAGTTACCTAACATTTGCAGTTACAGGGGTTATCTGTTTAACTGCTATATTAAACTATTTCTACTCTTGTAAAGTTTACTAGAACTCCAGTATCTATCTTTCTGACATCTTCTTTATCATCTCCTACTAGGTGCAACTCAGAAGCATCAGTCTCATTTCAAACTACTAATTCAGATGGCCTAGTATAGTATACTTATATATCCTTTTTCTCTGGTAAATCTAGTGGCCTGGTTGGTTATATGCTCCTCTATACATATTTGATGTCTGGTTGGTTATATGCTCCTCTATACATATTTGATGTCTGGTTTTATTTTTGGTTTCTATAAA